ATGCTATTTTAACCTTATAATACTGTGCTTAATATTCTGTTAAAACTTTCTGTTTATATTTTACCTGGTTTACCCAACTCATAAATTGGAAATACTAATTAGGTCTCCTGGAGTGCATGATTATTTTGCATATAGTAACATTAAAATATACCATGAGTTGAAATGATTATTCTTTAAAGTTACCTTCTGATCTCATTCCTGGGTCTCTTGTTTCCTAGTGCAAAACGGGGGAGTATTTTGGTCTCTAAGGGCAGTAGTAGTGGGATGGATTGTGAGCCACTCCCCTTGCTAGATGTCACAGGGAATGCAAATTTCCCCACACTAGCCTTTTGATGTTCTGTAGATGTAACTTTTAGGGGGGAAAGTGTAGCTTAGTTTTCATGCCTATTCACTCCTTGGTCTCTCTTGCTGAGTGTCAACCAGAGTACCAATTGTGCTGGTCGTAGTCTAGCACCTAGTAGATGGCCCATACTATAAAACCAACCAGTATTGACTGCAGCTGTTAGCTGGCAGTGAGTTCTATTAACTACCAGACCGGACCAGTTCAGTCATCTAAGCTTTAAAACCAGTCCAGGATTCCTCTGTGTTCATATGGGGCTGATCATAGGGTTGGTGCTTAACAATAATAATTTGAACTATTGACCTAGAAGTGAAAGGTTCCATCTTACATATACATAGATACTGAAAAATAGTAGTTTCTAGCATGTCTAAACATAAATGTCCAAGTCAAAGAATCTGTATAATGTAAAACTTCATAAACTATGAGATTTTTCACATGCTCAGTCAGTAAGGCTGTTAAAACAAGCCCTCTTAGAATCCCATGATTTGCTGCTTCAGAGAATGCAAAGCTACCTAGGCTTGTGGGCAAGAAATGGAGCACTTTTAAAAAAAAAAAATTTTTTTATATAATTTCATCTGAAGTGCAAGAGCTTAAAGATATCCAGGCATTGCTCTCTGTCTTCAGAGACCCCCACTTATAGATCATTTTCTTTGTCTAACCACTGAACAGCGCCTCTAGATCCACAGGCAAGGCTCCTCAATGGCTATCTAATCTGCTACTGCCTAAAGCAGTTGAAGTGGCCTGGGTTATAAAACTTCTTAACATGAGTATCTAAGAATTGAAAGTCAACTTAAACGGGGGCTTTTTCACTAGATTGCCAGCAGCTGACCTGTTAAAGGGCTAAATGTGTTTATATGCATGTTTGATTATAATCTAACCTACTTAATACATTTCTTCAGTGTGTATCGTATGAAAACACAGGCATATCTTTGGAAGGCATAGGCACATCCAGGATTTGCATTTGGATAGTCAAACTGGCAGTGCTGAATACTGGGCTCTTGCTCTCCAAACAGCTAATCTTACAAGTGGGCACGTGTTTGGGATGTAATTCCCCTGTAATGAGCTGACAGACAGCTGAGCAATCAGTCTTCAATATGTTCTCTTTCTTTTCTGCAGAGGATAAGTACAGCAAGTGGAGATGGCAGGCATTACTGCTACCCACATTTCACATGTGCAGTGGACACAGAAAACATCCGCAGAGTGTTCAATGATTGTCGAGACATCATTCAGAGAATGCATCTTCGCCAGTATGAACTCTTGTGATTGGGATCACCGTGGAGCCTGTGGTTTTAAATACTTAGCTCCTTACTCTCTTGCTCTCTCTCTATACTATGCCACACAGGGTGGAAGAAAGTACTACAGAAATGTCAGTCTTTTCAGGTTGTTTACCTTAATTATTTAGCCTTTGAGCTGGTTTGCAGCAAGTTTGGGTTTCTTTTCCGCCATGCTTTTTGGGACTATTTGTGTGCTTTATTTTGATATGCCACTTCTTTGTCATTCCACTAAGCCCTTTGGCTACCTCTGTTGCTTTAGAGGTGTGTTTTGTTTTTGGGGTTTTGTTTTTGCTAATTGAACATAACCTGCTAAATTTTTTCCAGCAGGTTATGTTAGTTCAAACTAGTATGTCAGCTGGATGACACTAAAGTCATACCTATCCTTGTGTGGGTCCCTTTTTTAACATGATATTAAGAGTACTTGATGGTTGATAAAAGAATAATGCACTTTGTATCAGGTTATTAAATACTGTTGAGGAAGTATACACACAATGTAGCAGCACCACAATATTTATTACTCTGTCACAGTTTTTAGCATTACTGAGTTGCAGGTCAACTGATAAAGTGACCTCCTCTTTTAAGCCGTTACTGGCACAGGAAGTAGAGTAGATAATGAGAGGCATGGTGAAGATAAGCAATTTTTCTGGGGTTTTGGGGCTAAGTGCCTCTACACACCTCAGGCATTTGAATTATAGCTACTTTTTCAGCCTGTTGCATCTAGGCAGAAAATGTACCACCCTCACTTACGTTATTTGTGCTGTCCACAAATGATCCGTTTAGTTTAGATCATTCTTGGACAACAGTCCTCTCCCTATATATATATTTTTTTGTTTTACTGCTGGTTTATTATATTGTACAGACTGTAAAATGTAATATTATTTTGTACAACTTTATTGAAGAAAAATACTTGTAGAAGATCTTTGTGCCTTGATTATGGCTGTACCTGTAAAATGAGCTAAGATGTAAGTATGTTTTTGATTGCGCTGTACAGCTTGATGTCAACCTTACCTGCAGCAGAGACTGAAGGTAAGAACTTTATCTGTAGAGTTTAGGGATTTTTTTCTGGTTTATATAAAAACAATGCTCTTTAGTATAAAAAATATAAATTATGCAAATTAACCACTTACCTTTTCAAGTAAGGTATTACAGTCACCGGATGTTGCAGCAACATGCCTTTCTCTTTTGAAATCTCAGCTTTAAAACATTGGAATTCATTCAAGTGTCCAAATTGCAACCTGGTGTTGTTTTAATGGGAATCAAGGATTTTTTTTCCTTTAACTTTAGAAATATGTTTAGTAATTCTTTGGTCATTCATAGTACGTCACAATTGCACAGGCCGATTGTGAATGTGTAAAGCACCATTATATAGAGCTCGTCAATCTTTGTACCAACAGCAGCTTTCATTGTGCAAGTAAATAGCAAGAAGGGGGGTGGTGGGGAGAGGAGGTATAAACCCGTGTGTCTGGCCTAAGAGAATTACAAGATGACATTTTTATTTCTCTTTTAATAAAGAGACATTAGAAAATTGTTTTATTTTAAATATTGTAGAATCAACTGTGTGAATATTTCTCAAACTTGAATAATTTATGCAAATGACATTCTCAAAACAAGTTGTGGTACAGTACAATATATAAAAAGCAAGAATTGCTGTAGCAATAAGGCATGTCCTTTTTAGTAACTATAACATTGCTTTATATTTTATACATAGGTGTTTTATGTCTCTGTGAGTATATACTTTTCCTGTGTCCAAGATAACCTGTACAAATGTCGAAAATTACAGTTGCAATAACAGAAACCTAGAGAAGTGTTAGCCTACATTACTTCATAGATTGTTTAATCACTCCTTGGACTATCTCCATCTTTGTTTTAAATTTTAGGGACAAATTAAGATCTGAATTGTTGTTTTCAGGAACACAATATGAATCAGATTTTTATAATACAGCCATGATTCATGCTATTTATAAACCCAGTCCTCTTTTACTTAAAATTAAATTAGAGAAATTTAGTAATTTTATTTTAAAATAGGATAATTTTAGAGACAGTACGGTATCTTTGTAAGATTATCCTTCCGAGTGAAATTGCTAGTAGGATGTATAGTCTTGATATTTCTATATTTGCAATTCAGTTATGTATTTCCTAGAAAGTGAAAGGCAGGGGTTAGCTAGTAATAGGTATAATTCCCTAAATCTACCACTGCCGGTTATGCATAGATTCTCACACCTTCCCTTCCAAAATTATTTTAGAAACATGCAAACTTTCTTTTATTACTCATTCCCACTTGAAAGGTAAAGTAGGCAAAACAAACCAGCCCTGTAGAATAAAAACCCCTGTCTCTGCAGGAGCACCAAAAGGCAAACTGGTTCCTGCTGTGGAAATTCCTTATGGTTTTTCTTGTAATTGTATTTGTCTATCCTGTCCCCATAAAGCAGCAGGGATTCTGGCTTCTAGATTTTTGCAATCTAGCCACCCCGAGGCAGAGAGCCAGCTCTGAGGATTGCTGTGGCTCCAATGGAGCTCTGCTGCTACAGCTTTCCCCTACAAAGCAATCCCCAAAACTCCATTACGGTTGACATTACAGCCCAAAGCTGGCTCTGCATTAATATAACCAAGTTTTGTTAACATTCTTTTGGAATCCTCCAGGGGCATAACATGCACCTGGTCCTCCACCATAAAGCTATGGGAAAATGTTACTGCAGCAGTATCCGACCTCCTTTGTTGGGGAAAACCTATCCACATTGACCTATAGGGTGCAATAGGGCCCTGTAGTTTAAGATTATCATAGCACATTTTATTAAAAAGAGCAGCTTGAGAGGGTCCACCCACATTTTTGGAAGGGCTGAAGTGTTTTGGCAAGTAGACCCTGGAGGGGTGGAGAGATGGTCTGGCAGACAGGGGATTACAATCTACAACTACTAACGCAGCAGGGATTTCTCCCAAACAACAGTTTTTTGTGTGTGACAGCTTAGGAATGCTAAGGAAATCCACTGATGCATCTATCTCCTGCTGACATTAAGAAACAGAAGTATCACATTAGAAGGGCATGTAGCAATAAAACATACAGTGACGGTTCCAGCTTGAAAGACTATGCCTCCTCCCAGGTAGGACATTCTAGTGCAGAGGCTGTAGGATTTACATAATGTACAGTTACAACCTTTTAGTATACATATTTGATACAAAAATTATAGCAAGGAAATGGACTCATTTGATTGTAGAATACTGTATTTTTGTACAGCATGAAAACAGTTCATTTCAGTTAATTATTTATCCTGTAGTAGTCATATCAACTGTGTAGGATTTCTATGGTATGTGTAAATGCGACCTGCCTTCGGATTAACAATCCAATTAGGTAATTTGCTGGCATGAATATAGTCTGATGTTTGACTGTTCTCAGCTTTGGTATTTCAGTAACTGAATGCAGATGTCTGGCTCTTCATACTGCTTTATGCTTCCTGATTAAGTGCTGAGCAAAATAAAAAGGTGGATTGAGAAGTTGAAGATGAGCTAGTATCAGTACCCCAAGTAGAGCCCCTGCTATACAGTATATAGTAACAACTCTGCTCTCAAGTGGAAGGAAACACTTGTAGAGGGAGAAGTCGGTTGGTGTTATGCTGCCCTGAAAAAGAAAGAAAGGCCATCATGTGGTTGGGTATAGGTTTAGTGAGTCTACATCAAAAACAGCTGTGATGTTTAAGTTCTGCATTAGGTTGCAGGACCTGGACTAATATAGTACCAATACCATGCAGTCAGTCCACACCCTATAGCACTAGAGACTAGACATGTTGCAAAGGTAATGTGCATGGTTTGATAGCAACCACTTTAAGGAAAATAGAATAGGCACAAGCACTTGATTGGATAGGTAGCAGCTGGTAAAAGCAGGACTACTTAGCAAAAGAAACATGCCAACAGTTAAATAAAATACATGGATTGAGAAGGGACTTGGTGTTGTTGTCTATGGACTAAAGAGTGTAAACCAAAGAGTAATGAGATTTGAGTTTCTTTTCCCCATGCCACAAGATGCTGAAAAGTAAAAAAAAAAAACTGATTGTAGGTTTTGCTATTTAAAACAGAACTTTTCAAAAACTTGAATTATTGTAGAACTGGTTGTTTTCTCCATCTCTACGTGGTACATAATAAAGAAGATTGGAACTATCTGATGGAGCTTAACCAACATTCTAAGTGAAATTAGAAAACATATGAATTGAAACTAATGAGGCAGATTAATGAAAACTTGCCCTCTCTGAAGTGGTTAATAGGTGAGTCTGACAGGCAAGAAAGCCATGTAGAAATCTGAGATAGATATGGGTCTTATTTTCATAGTAGATAAATCAGCTAAGCAAAACTAGCCTTTTTACTGTTCGGTGCATGGTACTGATGATGATTTTTTTTACAAGTCAATAGTTTACCCTGCACCCTCTTTATAAGAAACTCTGTTACACATGGTTTTTACGAATATACAAACTAGACCTTTAACAGCACTTCCTTGTACCACACAACCTGTGTGGCTCCCCTGATGAGCTTTATAAAGTGGATGCAGTGTATTAAGTAAATGTTGGGTTTTGAGGGAGAGTGGGTGTTCTGCCTTTTTAAACAAAACAAACAGGTAGCAGCAGTTTAATAAATAGCTGATTGCCATGTTGATTTATATTTATGAAAGTTACCTGACAAAAATAAAAATCTTTAAATTTACCATGATGAAACTAGGGTTGTTTCTGTTCCTCCAACTAAATGATGGGACACTGATTTCTGGAATCTTCCCATTATGCAACACTTCACATGCACTGTGGGTATGGCCACTCAGAATCAAACGGGGATGAAACCACCATAACAGCTATATTGGAAACAGTACAAAATTACAAACATGAAAAGTTGATTTGAATTTGTTTAAAGTCATCACACAGTTTAATATCTAGTTTTGCTTCCAATGGGCTCTCCTTCCATATTTTTACTTGGGCTACTATTTTTGCAGAGTATTTTGTGAAATCCTCGTGTCTTCCACTAATACAATAGTCATATTTTAATAGTAAATCACCCTATTTGACCTGTGTCATAAAAACAGGGTGGTATTTTGTAACATTTTACTATAGTAGGTAAATTCCTTATGAATTTGAACAACACTCAGTATCAAGTCTTTAGCACCACAAATAGAAAACCTGGGTCTTAAATGAAGAGTAGCACTGATTTGGAGGTGATCTGCCCTCAAACTTGAGCATATACATTTCTGCTGTAGGAAAAATCTCTGTTGCCCATTTAATTTATTGGGAATGTTCTGTTTATCATCAGTAATTCAGTGAAAGTAATGTTTTTAGAGCGCTGGACAAGATCACTGACTTTTTCTATTAGTCCTACTAAAAATGGGTAACCCATATACTCTAAAACTTTACATCTAGTACAAAATGCTACACTGAGAATAAATGCTCTGCAGCAGACTGAGTGTCCCTGGACTTACCATGTAGAGCCCAGCAGGTTTATCAGCAGTCTCCCCCAGGCCTCACTAAACCAGGAGGAGCTTATCTCAGCTAGCATTTGCTTTTTCCAATATTATATACATAATTAAGGATTTCAGGAAGCGCTGTAAAGTTACTGTGATATTAAATAAAGTTGTTAAATTACCAAACCTTTTGTGAAGCCTCTCTAGACAGTACGTCATACTTTTCTTTAAATGGGATGTTCTTTTCCTCTGGAAGAGCAGAATCTTCTCCGGTACATTCAGCGTCACTTCTTCTGTAAAGAGGGTAATGCTGACAGGGATTCAAAGCAAGAGCCAGTTGTTAGCTAATGCAGCCTTTTATAAAATGTTGATAAATATGCTGAAATGGTGAAATCCTGCCCACCTAATCTCCAACACACCTGTAAAAGGATTGGTTCTGAAGCTGGAAGCTGTTCCACACCACTGCATCTTTTGTTGGAATGATTCTGTTCCTGCTAATAAAATCAAGCCAGACAAACATAATTGTGTCTGTGCAGCACTAGTTCTGTATTTATTATGTGCTTGGAGGGCCAGGACAGAAATGCAAAGTTGAAGACCATGTAAGATATTTTCCTCAACAACAACCAAAAAAAAAAACCTAGCATTGTATAAGGATTATTGCAAAAGTACTTGTTTACAGTGTCTATCAGAGAAACTAATCATATGAGGCCTTACAGAGTAAAATCAGAGGATAGAAATTAAGAGGTATAAGTAAGTGAGAAAAGCTATATGATGGGATGATTTGAAGAGAGCTGGTGCTGTGTAGGACGTCTATTCCAAATGGCAGGTGATTCAGAGCACATCTCATAGAGGTCAGATTGTGAAGGGATAGAGAAGAGGATGGAACTACGTGAACAGAAGCCTGAAGCAAGTTCATGAAGTGTTTTAAAAATCAAGACTGACAATTTAGAACTGGACTTTAATGAACAAGGAGCTAGTGAAATTGTTCGAGGATGTCATGGATGCAATTGCACTCTCTGTATAGATCAGAAGGTGGCAGCAACACTTTACAGAACATGCTGAACCATAGAAAACTGGAATAGCTATAGAGAAGGCAAGAGGATCTGAAAGCATGCTTTAAGATTTCAGCAGTGGTGGGAATCAAATTAGTAGTATTCAGAGACCGCGCTGGACAGATAATGGCAACATGCAAGTCTGCAGATCCAGGAGATATGGGATGAAAGTAAAATTCACCATCAAGGATACAAAGGTTTCCATTAAGAAGGGAAAGAGGAAATGGGGTGGTTTGATACTCTTTTTACTTAAGAGAAATTTTATTGATGTAGTGGAAGGAAGTTAAGGTAAATTCACAAATTAATTTGGTCAAGACGGAGGAGTGTTTAAAAAGAGTACATTTGAAAAGTAGCGTGAGAGTTCAGGTTAGGAGGAGACATGACAGGCAAAAGGTAGATAGAAAAGGCCCTGTCTATGTAAGAATAATACTTAGATCCCAAGTGCTTTACAAAGGAGAATAACCATTAACAATTTTACAGATGGGGAAACTGAGATGAAGTGACTTGCAGGTCAGTGGCAAAGTGAGGAACAAAATCCAGGTCTCCAGACTGCCTATCCATTAGACTATGCAGGCTCCCTTACAAGAGCAGAGACCAGAGTAAGTGATATTATATGTGGCAGAGAAAAGGGCTACAGGATTTTGCTGACAGAGAGATCACAGACCGGACAAGATTATAGGAGGTAAAAGACCCGTGCCCCTGTCTTTCTGAAGTTAGCAGAAAGACCGGGGCAGAGGGAGTCAGCAACATGCACACTGAAATCCACCATGAATATGGAGGTAAGAATGATCAAGGAGACAAGGCCAGAGCATTGTGTGAGGAAGGACAAAACACAAACTAGAGACTGAGATTTTTCAAAGGAGAAGACTCTGACTTCCACCCGGACTATAACTGCAACTCCAACTCTGCAGTTACAGTGAATGGACTATTGGACTCTTACCTGTTGGGAGCAATTCAGTTTATGAGAAAGCTTCATGAGCTTTGCCTCTGCCCTGCTGCAGACAGCGCACCCATCACCATCCAGGGCAACACTGTTCACCATGACAAAACTGGGGGAGAACAGAGAGGGAATAGGGAAAAGGACAACTGTTAGGTCTCCAGACACTAGTGAAGAGAGATGAAGCCCTTGTCTTAAAAAAAAAAATGCAACCAAGTTCATAATTCAGATAAAAAACTCAAAGCGTACGAACTAAATTCAATAATGACTGTGCCTAGGCCACACACTAGACCAGGGTTTCTCAAACTTTATTGCACTGCGACCCCCTTCCGATAACAAAAATTACTTCACGGCCCCAGGAGAGGGGACCGAAGCCTGAGCCTGCCCAAGCCCCACTGCTCGGGGGGGGGCAAAGCTGAAGCTCAAGGGCTTCAGCCCCTCCCCC